CCTGGGCTGGGGAGGATCGGGTGTTTGGGGAGAGGGACAGGGTCTGGAGGGGATGAGACAGAGGGGAGAAGGACTGGAATGGGGGGAAGTTGAAGGGGTGGGACAGCAGGGGGAGCGATGGGGGTGGGATGATGGGAGAGGCTGAAGAAGAGATTTGGGGTAGGGGGAGCAGGGGGACTGTGGGAGAGGCTGTTGGAACGGGGGCAGGGACTGAGGGCAGTGGATTGAGGGTGGGGGCACAGGGGGGACTGCAGCGGAGGCTGAGGGAACAGGGTCAGGGTGGGGGCTGAGGCAGTGGGGCTGAGGGGAGCCCCCCCCAGAGGGACCTGCCAGGGGGCCAGGTGAGCCCAGCAGTGCTTACCAGGAGCGGCTCTCAGGAAGCATCCAGCAGGCAGGTCCCTCCCAGTCCCTCTTGCCCCTTCCTAGGGTCGGGTCGAGGGGGGGCGGGGCCTCTCTGCCCGGCGAACGCTGCCTGCTACTGGAGTCTATAAGCCCTGCCCCGCTGCAGCACGCAGGGGAGCGAGACCTCCTCGCTGCCTCTCTGTGTGCCAGGGGCAGGGCTGCGCTTCTGGGTACATGTCTGGCTCTGTTGATTTGAAGCCTCCTGCTACAAGACAGGCCCAAAAGAGAAACCAACAGAACTCCGCTGGCCATCACCTACAGTCCTCAGCTTAAACCTCTCCAACGCATCATCAGTGATCTACAACCCATCCTGGACAATGATCCCTCACTTTCACAGACCTTGGGAGGCAGGCCAGTCCTCGTCCACAGACAACCTGCCAACCTTAAACATATTCTCACCAGCAACCACGCAACGCACCATAACAACTCTAACTCAGGAACCAACCCATGCAACAAACCTCGATGTCAACTCTGCCCACATATCTACACCAGCAACACCATCACAGGACCTAACCAGATCAGTTACATCATCACCGGCTCATTCACCTGCACGTCCACCAATGTTATATATGCCAGCAATGCCCCTCTGCTATGTACATTGGCCAAACTGGACAGTCACTACGCAAGAGGATAAATGGACACAAGTCAGATATCAGGAATGGCAATATCCAAAAACCTGTAGGAGAACACTTCAACCTCCCTGGCCACACAATAGCAGACGTAAAGATAGCCATCTTACAGCAAAAAAACTTCAGGACCAGACTCCAAAGAGAAACTGTTCATTTGCAAATTTGACACCATCAGATCAGGATTAAACAAAGACTGTGAATGGCTATCCAACTACAGAAGCAGTTTCTCCTCCCTTAGTGTTCACACCTCAACTGCTAGCAGAGCACCTCACCCTCCCTGATTGAACTAACCTCGTTATCTCCATACTGATTTACACCGGCCTCTGGAGATTTCCATTACTTGCATCTGAAGAAGTGAGGTTCTTACCCACGAAAGCTTATGCTCTCTATACTTCTGTTAGTCTCAAAGGTGCCACAGGACCCTCTGTTGCTTTTTACAGATTCAGACTAACACAGCTACCCCTCTGGTTCACAACTATACATATACAATGATGGGGTCTAAATTAGCTATAACCACTAAAGAAAGAGATCTTGGAGTCATTGTGGATAGTTCTCTGAAATCATCCACTCAATGTGCAGCAGCAGTCAAAAAAGAGAACAGAATGTTGGGAATCATCAAGAAAGGGATAGATAATAAGACAGAAAATATCATATTGCCTCTATATAAATCCATGGTACGCCCACACCTTGAATACTGCGTGCAGATGTGGTTGCCCCATCTCAAGAAAGATATATTGGAATTGGAAAAGGTTCAGAAAAGGGCAACAAAAATTATTAGGGGTATAGAATAGCTTCCGTATGAGGAGAGATTAATAAGACTGGGACTGGAAAAGAGGCAACTAAGGGGGGGATATGATAGAGGTCTATAAAATCATGAGTGGTATAGAGAAAGTAAATAAGGAAGTGTTATTTACTCCTTCTCATAATACAAGAACAAGGGGCCACCAAATGAAATTAATAGGTAGCAGGTTTAAAACAAACACAAGGAAGTATTTTTTCATGCAACACACTGTCAACTGGAACTCCTTGCCAGAGGGTGTTGTGAAGGCCCAAACTATAACCAGGTTCAAAAGGGAGCTACATAGATTCATGGAGGATAGGTCCATCAATGGCTATTAGCCACGATGGGCAGGGATGGTGTCCCTTGCTCTCTGTTTGCCAGAAGCTGGGATTGGGTGACAAGGCATGGATGATAACCTGTCTGTTCATCCCCTTTAGGGCACCTGCCATTGGCCACTGTCAGAGGACAGGATACTGGGCTTGATGGACCTCTGGTCTGACCCAATATGGCCGTTCTTATTTTCTGCAGTTCCCTCTCCTGAAAATGTAGCTTCACCAAGGCTAGGCTCCAGTATGTCCAGAGGTTCTTCCACTGCCCACCACAGTATCTGAGCACCTTCTAGTGCCACACTGAGACCCTGGTTCTGGCTACAGAGGGGCGAGCAGCTCCTCCTGCTGCCCGCTGGCGGGAGGGTCGCAGTCCAGTCTCGCACAGCCCACGCTGAGAGCCGCCGCAGGACATGCTGGCGTCGGGTGTGGCCCAGGCTGCGGGAGGCGACAGAGGGCAGAACTGCGAGGACAAGGGCTGGAGCTGGGGGGGGGGGCAGTTAGAGCGAGCGCACACATGCCTCTCACGTGCTCCCTGCCCGCCCCCTCTGCTCCAGTTCCTCCCTTCTGTCCCGCCCCCAACATGCACGCTGCTCCTTTGCCCCAGCTCCTCCTCTCTGCGCCGTCGGCGCTGGCCGGTGGCAGGGGGGCGGGGCCTGGTTCTAGGGCAGGCAGCCAATGAGCGGCGACGCTCCCCACTCCTTTCCTTTGCGCGGTGACGTAATGGAGGAGTGGGGAAGGCTGGAGGGTTCCATTCTCGCTCTCGTTCACCCAACCGGAGGTGGAGTTGAGACGTAGGGGAGTCGCGCGGACACACTCCCTGAGGACAAGGTGACGTACCTCGCCACCTGGGCTGGGAGCTCGTGGGGTCCGCGCGCTGGTTCTCCCGCTGCCGGGCTGCTGCGCGCGCTGACCTCGCCGGGGCTCTCCGCCGGACGGGCCGGGCTCGGGGTGGCTGCCCTGCAGGGGCTGCGTGCGGACCGCCCCGCGCTGTGCATTGATCTCTGTCACGGCGCCGCGAGCTTGTTAGTTCAGAGGCTTTAATTGTTGGCTGCTGCTGCTGGGGGTCGCGGTCCCTCGCTGATGTGGCAGCTTTGCTATGGGGACCGCCAGGCTGGGAGGAGGACAACCCTCGGAGCCCCAGGTCTGGCTAGGGTTTGGCGGGGAGACCACCTGGCTGTCTAGAGGAGACCAGCACAGTGTGTGGAAAGGTTAAAAGACTGGAGATGTTTAGACTTGGGACCTTGGTAACCGTTTTTTTTAAATTAAGGGCTGCTTTAAAGAGGACGGTGATCAGTTCTCTATGCCTGCTGAAGGTAGGGTGAGAAGTAAGGATCTTAATCTGGAGCAATGGAGAGGTAGCTTAGATGTTAAGAAAACTTTCCATTATAAGGATAGTTAAGCACTGGAATAGGCTTCCCAGGGAGGCTGGGGAATCCTCTCATTGGAGGTTTTTAAGAACAGGCTAGAAAAACTTATGGAAGATCTAGGTTTACTTGGTCCTGCCTTGGGGAGGAGGCTGGACTTGATCTCATGAGGTCCCTTCCAGCCCTACAGTTCTATGATTCTGTAATGCTCCTTTGGCCTGCATGCAATCTGGAGGAGAGAGTCCAGTTCAGGCATCAAATTTGTTCTTAAAGAATGTTTTGTAATAAGTAATGTTGTTGTTTCTCACTCACCTTGTCTGTACTATAGCAGAGAGGGAAGTCCACTTGTTACTATACAAGTGTACCGAGTGCCAGCGAAACAATAAACAGCATTTTATTTGCTGACCATAATAGGCTTGTTTTGCTTATGGGCTAACTTTATTTTAGGCCCTATGTTGTGTGAAGGGCACTTTCAGTCTGAGGGAGCAGAATCCACATCTGTTTTTTTATAAAACTATTGATATGGAAAACAAAAACACTGTCTTTGGACAGTGAGATTGTTAATTGTGGGTTGTAGTTTAGTTTGAAGCCATGTCACAACCTTTTTACAGGTGATTGTGTAAACATGGATGTATTAAAATATATTGTTTCTGTGCTAATGTGAGGTGAAGTCATGATTATTGGCAATAATTAAAAAGGAAGGTGGAGAAAATAAATCTCAGTGATTGTGAATGAGGTATAGTACCTGGTAACTGATAGTCCATTTCAAATGAGCCTCTTTAAAGAAATCTGTTGAGGGGATCTGTTCATGGTTCTGAAGCCCAGAAGGAGCATAGGGTGGGTATCTGAAACATACGCTGTTCCTTACTGAGAGTAAAGGTGAACAGAAGGGGATGTAAGAGGAAGTTCAGCTTGTGGAAGCAGTGATATGCTGAGCTTGTGGGAAGAAGGAAGCCAGAAGAGATTCACTGCATAGCATTCAAGGAGCCAGGGGACTGAAGAACATTTGCTTACCTGCCTGAGAGAGTTAAACTGGACAGAGGCATAAAAAGGAAACATGGGAGTTCTTGGCAAAGAAGGGGAGGGAAAATAACAAAAAATACAAGTGTGAGAGGGTTTAGCCGCCTGCTGCTGCTGCTCCTTAGTTAGATTGGTTTTTAATTTCAAGGTCTGGATTAATAGTTGTGGGTGCAGAAAGTCACTTGCCATTACGTGAGGTAGGTGTCACATTAAATCCTCCCTACCAGAAAAGGTGAGGTGATTCTTGTATCCATATTGTAGGTTGTTCGTATTCTTTCAGACTTTCATGTGTGTCAAGGTGACACTCAGAAAGCAGTTAGCCCTGTCTGCTGCAGTGCATCTGAAAACCTCTGATTTATCTTAGCCTTGTCTTGTGATTGGCTCAGCTCTAAAGGAGATTAGAGAAGAGAGATAATGTTTTCTTTTTTTGTTACTGACACATTGACAGTTGCCAAATATTGTGCCTTCTAATACTGAGGATGCAGATTAAGACATTCCCCACAAATATAATCCCATTATCCATGTGCAAAAAAATTATTTAATCTTGCATGATAAATGTCATTCATATCATCAAATATATCTTATGCAAGAGCTGTATTTGTCTTTAAAACAAGTCTAGTGTATGGTAGTTAAACATACTGTACCCACAATACTATTTTACTCTAGTTATATTCTTAAATTTACTTTTGGTGACCCTCACCTTCCTCTTTAACTTCTATTCCCCTTCCCCTCACTATCCCAAAGGCCCTTTGAAAAGGGATCTAGGGGTGGGTTTACCAGAGAAGAATGTGCAGTCCATACAGCCTCTACAGGGTTGAAAGTGCTACTGAGAAAGGTATCGAGCTTTGGGCCCACCTCGGATATTCCATGTGACAATGTGTTGTGTTAACACCGGACCTCTCAGTCCCCCCCCCCCCCTAGAACTTTGATTTTTCAGGGGGTAATGCCTTCAATACATTGGGGAATATGTGAAGTAAACACAAACTGGTTTTGCTGTGGGGTGATAGCAGCAACAGTGGTGTACAAAGCCTGCTTCTGTGGACTATGGCCTTTTCAATCAGTTGTCTGATCCAGTGCATTACATCTGGCACTTAGTGCGAAAATATAGTAATTCTTCCTCTAAGGTCATTTCCTGGGTTATGTAAATCTGTATTAAAGTAATAATACCTGTCATATAAATGATTGTTCACACAAACTACCTGCTATTGTGTGTGGTTAACTCAGAAGGTTTTCTCTCATTTTTTATAGTCCTTGATTATATTATAGCTTGCATTCTGGGCTGTCATCTCATAAGATAAACAGGACTGGGCCTGGTTAGTAGTAGTTGCCGAGGGGCTTCCAAGGAACATGTAGGGGCTTCAGGAAGTGATTCTGGTGGTTCAGTAAGTGGCATTCTTCACTTTGTCTATACAGAAGCAGTGCCCAAAATGGTGTGGGGAGGAATTGAAACTGCTGCTAGATATAAAGTTTACAGAATCAAGAACAGTAACCAGTGCTGCTGTATCTTTAATGAGAAGTGAACCTGAAGGCCTGACCACATGTGATTGAGGGAGATCCTGTTTCTTCTTGCAGGAGTGTCAACCCTGGTTGTAGTGTTGGGACATTTTCTTAAATGGATATTGCCTTTCAATAGTGAGTGTAGTTCGTGTGTTTATAAATATGCACACAGCGTATACTCTGATGGGCTACAGAGATATTTCAAGTATCAGAGGGGTAGCCGTGTTAGTCTGAATCTGTAAAAAGCAACAGAGGGTCCTGTGACACTTTTAAGACTAACGGAAGTATTGCGAGCATAAGCTTTCGTGGGTAAGAACCTCACTTCTTGCATCTGAAGAAGTGAGGTTCTTACCCACGGAAGCTTATGCTCCCAATATTTCTGTTAGTCTTAAAGGTGCCACAGGACCCTCTGTTGCTTTTTAGAGATATTTCAGATGCTTCTGGATGAGAAGCACTTAGATAAATGTAAGGAGCGAGTCTTATGAAAGAAAAGTGTGTGAGGTTGGTATTTTGGAAGCCCAGTCTGGGGCAGGGGCAACTTTAGGGAGCTTCATAGATTTCCATTTTGTTAGTCAAGAGTAGAGCAAGATGCCATTTTTCTCTTGGTGACTATCGTAAATAACACCTCTCCCTCCCTTTAAAAAACAGGTCTACATTTTGAATCTGGAGGTGGTGGTGCAGGAATCTGTGTTAGTAATCATTCAGCCTTCAGCAATGGCCCCTGCTGTTGGGTTTGGCGTGGTTTAAACAAACATGGTTCTCTTTCTTCCTGTTTCACTGTGGTTTGCAGCACAATCATTCATTTGTCTAAATAAGGCACAAGGTTTACTGAGGACTTGGGCTTTTTTTACAGGAAGGGGATTGTCTGGTATTCTCAGGCTTAGTATTCTCTTCCGTGATGCCAAAGCGAAATTTGAAAAAGCAGGGAGGGGAGGAATCTCAAAACCCCCAAACCAGTGTTGAGAGTCAGGTTTTGCTATATAAATTACCAGCAAAAATCAGTTGCATAGTGAAGCGTTTTAAAGGCTTCACTTGTGAAGTGACGCTCCCAACACTGTGTTGGGAGCCTTGAGGATTCCTAGTTGCTTAAAATGAAGGGTTTGTGTATTGGAGGTGGTTTGGGAATGTGGGGGAATTAACTTTTTCTGTCCCGCTTACTGTCTAGTGTGGAGAGAAGGGAGGAGAAGGTATGGTTCTTAGTACAGGTTTTACTATGTAGATAGTTGGGATGGGAGAGGGGGTTAGCTTTGTTAGACTGCTAGTCCCATTTATCCGCTTTTTCTTATTTTTTTTCTCCCCACCTCCAGTGAGCAGTCAAAGGCAGGAAAAATCTAGCATATGTAATAGCTGAATAAATGCATCATGTCTGAGGCCTTTTGCTAACTAATTCTTTCCTCTCTTCTATGGTAGACTACAATGGTAGGTGAAGATTATACTTCCATAAGACACCGCCAGCCGAGTTCTACAGGACATGGGACCCCTGAGAAGAATGAAATGCAGAAGAGATCTGAGGCAGAGAAGCCATTCCAAAACTCAAGCAATGGTGAGTTATTTCAGTTGTGGTTCAGGGCTATCTGTACGTTCAATCCACTCCAGCCTGGCTGGGGACACCTCCTCTCGGTGACAGGCTTCGTACCTTCACCTCTTTGAAGGAGGAATCCCACAATTCTTCCACTTTCAGACTGGATCCTGGGATACTGACTGTGATTCTTCAGCAGGGCTGACTGGGCTGGAGCCTTCCTTTCAGGAGCTGTGACCAGTGTGTGGATATGGTGACACAAAACAGTCCTTTCAAAACAACATATTTTTCAATTTTATAGCAGGAACAAAGCAGAATAAGAGCAAAGGGTTATTAAAACATGCATGTTATTAAGCAATCTACATGCATGTTTGTCTTATGTAAAGATTAGGGAGGCTTATCCAGACACCCGCACTTTTGGGGACTGCGGTTCAGTCTGCTTTCACACCATCTTTAGGGGGCAGACCTTTTATCAGTCCCAGATATTCTTTGTTTCCCTGTATCTCTTGAACCTGGTCAAATTGGTTTGTGCAGCCCACCAGAGGCGGGGACGCAGCATATCATAGTTAATAGTCCTGAGTGTCTGCTAAGGAACACCTGGCTGTGCTGCGGTCACCTTTCCTGTGGAACAGTGTCAAGTAACTCCTGCTGGAATTAATCCTGGTAGTCCTATAGCAAATGATGCAATAACAAATAGCTGGACATGACATATATTCATAAAATATCATGAGCGTCTCCCATACCTTTCAGACTTTCTCATTGGCTTGACGAAGGGGCTTCTGCAGAGTTTGCGCTTCATTTTTGGTGCAAGTGGCGGCACTTCACTGGAGCTCACTTGATGTGAGGGAAAAGAATTCACAAGCTGGCAAAATAAGATAGATTACCCAGAAGTCAGTGTGAACTCCCCTGTCACCTTCCCCTAATTCCATCCTGTAGGAGAGGCTGGTTGATGGTGGAGTTTGAAGATTTCTTCTACCTGTGCAGGATGGTAGGAATAGCCCAATATCTGAGTTAGCTAAAGCAGTGTATTGTCTGAGTTTTGAGGGTTGGAGTGAACCTATGGATTTCAAAAGTTTTCAAAGGGCAAAATGGAAAAGTGAAGCATAAATAGTAAGGAATAGGATTCATTGTTGGAAGACCAAACAATGAAAGCACCATTGGAACCACTAATAGGGTGGCTGTCTCACACTGTTGGAGGGAATCAGTCCTCAGATAATAATCATCAGTAGTCTGCAGCTTTGAGGTCCTCTTCAACTCCTTGCTGCTGCTGGAGTATTCAGATAGCTGTTGCTGTGAAAGATGCAACCTTCCATCAGAGTCTAGTTAGAGGACTACATCTCATTCTGTTGGATGATTTGGCCACAGTCATCCACTCTGTCATGGCTTCTAGGCTGGATTACTGCAACTTGCTTTATCAAGGCATGAGTGTTATTTTAGCCAGAATGAAGTAGTCAGCTTGTTTTGGCAACACCGGCCACCAAGAACTAGTACCGCTAGTCTCATTATTGTGGCTTCTTATAAAATTAAGTTAAAAGCTAATGTTCTCATTTTTAATTCCCTCTGCAGCTGTTTGTTGGCATCTCAGCGAGTGCCTTTTTCCTTGACAACTGTATCTTGCAAGTATACATGTTCCTCAGGCACTTTGGAGCTGTCATCCTTGTGGGTGAAATCCTTGAGTGGGAGTTGGGCTTTCTCTGCAAGAGGAGACGGGACTTTGGAATTTATTACCAGAGAAAATCATTGATCTTATAGGCTTCAGAATAGGCAATATTTCAGTTTCGCTTTCCCAAATTAACAGAAAAGGGGTGGAACAAAAAGTGAAGTTAGAAGGAAGTTATAAATTTTATTTAAAACAAACAAACAAAAACAACAACCAGATTATCTAGGAGAAAGAGAGAGTGGAAAACTACAAGTGACCTGTGGCCTAGAGTTGATTCTTAACTCTTGGGTGGCTTTACTAATCTCTTTATTTCTGCTCTAGCTAGACTGCATTTGTGATAGGTGCCTTTATAAATGAAAATTACAATTGATATTTTAAATAAGGCTTTCTGACTTTGATTTAAATTAGATTAATTATCTATCTACCCTGCTCAGAATCCTGTTTTTTGTTGATCCATATTCTGGGAGTTTGTTTCAGCAAGACCAACCAATGTTATATTCTCTGTGGAAATCAAATGCAGAGTTGCTCTTTCTCACAGGGATCAGGTAGGATCCAACCTAAGAACACCAGTTATTCTAGGATCTGTCTTTCTCTGCTTCTCTTGTTATGGCAAAATCAGTGATTAGTGGAGGAAGACAGAAAAAGACATCTACAGTGGTAAGCTTCTCCTTAATCTAGATAATGCTGGTACTTTCTAGCTTGCCAGTGAAATGATCACGAGTGTTGTCTGCAGTGTCTGAAGTTTTAATCTAATTCCTTTTTGGACAACAGCTCAACGAACCATGCCCTCTGTGGCCTGCATGTACTTTTAAGTAGATCAGCTGAATTATTTAGTCACTGTGGAGTCATAACATGCCTGCATTGGCTCGCTGTAAAAATTAGCTTAACTCAGTAAACAGTATTAGTAGTTATTAACATATGTTGTGTATTGTAAATGGAGAACTTGTTAAATTGAATAGCCTTGCACTGGAGTAATTGTAGGTTAGTTTTACTTCAGGCAGGTAGTGTTCTATTTAGTGGTTGGCGTAAAGGACTGAGAATTGGGACTAAGATCTCATCTGACTTCTGCTACTGACTTGCTGTGTGACCTTAGACAAATAATTTAACCTTTAGCTGTTTCCCCCTTTGTAAAATAAGGATAATCTGTCTGTCTGCCTCAGTAGTGAGGTGTAATATTTTGTTAAGCGCTTTCACCCAGGTTCTGAAAGGTGTCTTACAAGTGCAAAGTATATGCCAAAGCCCAGGAACTATTCTTGAATTATTTTTTCCAGTTAAAACACTAAATGTTTCTAGCCATGTTTGTTGCATCATGCACCTATAAAACATCTGCTAGAATTGTGCATTTAGATGGCTATCTCACTGTCCTTTGTGTGTAATGATGGGTTCTATGCATCTTCACATTATGTAGTCGTTGGAGGCTGTTTGACATATGCCTGGGGGTTTGCAATACATGAGACTGACGTTTTGTAAGTCTATTGTATGACTTCTGAAAGGAAGGCCCTATTCAGAGAAGTGGCATTCCAGGAGTGGTAACCTTACTGCAGACACTTTGTTGGAGAAATCCATTTTACCCGTGAGTGGTTCTTTTATTTGATTTCCTTGTATAGTGTGAGGGTATCTCCCATATTAGGTCATTTAAACCCTCAGAGGTTTGTCTTTTACATACTTCTTTCTCTCTGTTTTTTCTGCAGTTAGGGGCATCTTGTCCTGTCATTCATATCTTGAGCAATTATTTGGCCAACAGTAACATTTGTTGAATTCTTACTACTTAATGACAACCACATGCAGTGGCTTCTGGTCACTGCATCATGATTAAACATGTTCCAGTCTTAACATTATAGTATGTAACTTCAGGCAACTCCGGTGGATTTTAGTGTGGTTCTAGTCTGTAATAGAACTATATAAAAAGGCCACCTCTTTACTCAACTGATCTGTTCCTTTATGGACTCATTCATAATTACTGACTTGAGTGGTTAAAAAATATTTACTACTTTTTGAGAAGCCTTGTTAATATTGTAGAGCCAACACATTTGGGCTAGCTAGAGCAGTGCTTCTCAACCTGGGGTACATGTACCCCTGGGGATATGCAGAGGTCTTCTAGGGGGTACATCAACTCATCTAGATATTTGCCTAGTTTTACAACAGGCTACATAAAAAGCACTAGTGAAGTCAGTACAAACTAAAATTTCATACAGACAATGACTTGTTTATACTGCTCTATATACTATACACTGAAATGTAAGTACAGTGTTAATATTCCAGTTGATTTATTTTATAATTGTATGGTAAATATGAGAAAGTAAGCAATTTTTCAATAATAGTGTGCTGTGACACTTCAGTATTTTTATGTCTGATTTTGTAAGTAAGTAGTTTTTAAGTGAGGTGAAACTTGGGGGTACACAAGACAAATCAGACTATTATACCCCTTTCAGGAGTCTGGAAAGGTTGAGAGCTACTGAACTAGAGTCTTGCATATTACAAACACTTTTGGTAGATTCCCATTACAGAAACAGGTTACACAATTTTTTAAAAAACTTTCCTATTTTTGTGAAATCCAATTTTTTTTTTCACCAGCTCAGGTGTTGAACAAGAAGAAAAGAGCCAAGTTTAATTTTCAGATGGAGAGTTGTTTACACAGAGATGGCACTCTTAAATACCATCTTTAAAGGTGCTTTACAAAATATAAGCCCATTTAAACCTTTTAATGGAACTATCATATTTATTTTGTATCTCAAAGAAGATCCTGCAAGTTTGTTTGCTAGTCTCATTAATTAGGTTGTTTCCCCTTTAATTAGCACCCTACCCTATTTTAAAAGTCAGTATCTAGGCGTTCTTAATTTCTGCTATGCTAACATAGTTTACAGTTTTGCAATGAGAAGATGTTGCAACCTGTAAGTCATTTAAGTATGACTTCCCTTGTGTGTAGATCTTAAATTTCAGTTCCAAAGAGAGGCCCATGTTAAATCAATTTTATGACCCCTACTCAGACATCCTTTCCTCACTTCAGACTGATCATCATGTGAGGGTTCCTCCTCTAGTCAAATGTTCCTTGTGAGTAAGCAACAATTTATGTAACAGAAAATAAATGAATTGTCCCCTTTTTCTGTACACACGTATTTGTACGTTGACTCACTTTTATAAGTTTTTTGAGCAGTGTTAATCGGGGACTGAGTTTTTCGTGTAGTTTTGTTTGTTTTTGTTTTAAGAGATTGGATTGCAGGGAAAAATCACAATTTAGTTATTCTACTTTTTTGTTTTAACTTTTTATTACATTCACATTTTTGTAGTCAATGTACATACTCTAACATGAGATGACGGTGAAAATGACTGTTTTGGATATTTAGATTCTGTTAAGACGATTTCT